CAATCCGGCCAACGGCCTTCATGAATATCCTCATGAAGGCATATCAGAGATTGTGGAATGAAACGGAGAATCTGCCACTCGACTTCATGCACCCTAAAGTCCATCGTCCGTCATCACCTATACATGAAGGCTGGATCAGGGTATGATCGAACATTCCCAGATGTGATGATGACATTCGTGTTTGGATGGGGCAAAACGAATATCCAGCAGGTTTTCCGGAAGGAAGTGAACGCCATGAAGGATGAACAACTGGAAGCCATGCGGAACGATCCGACGTCTGCCATTTTCGACTATCAGGTCTCATCCGCGGAACGCTTCAAGCACGTGAACAACGATATGTTCATGAATGGCTCACAAGATTCCGACTCGCACAGTCCGCTGATGGTCTACATCCGCAGCAGATCTGCCGCCAGGCAACGCAACTTTGAGAGATCCAAGGAGCACCTCAAGAAGAAGCAATCCTGGACTCAGCAAGAGTGCAAAGAGTAAAACAAGCAGCACTGGGGCAATCCAAAGCAATGGAAAGACTATGGCGACTCGACCTGGAATGATTATGGAGACTATGGCAGTCAACTACGAACTTCAACCAGATTGATCCTCACTGCCAACAAGACTATTCAGTGAGAGAACAATAGTTTCACATCCGTCCCGCACATCACCTTTTCGATACATCTAGGTATCTCACAGAATCAGTACAGACTGTTTTCCATTTTGCTCACATGACAAATCATCCGCGCCAAAATTGGATGAATCATTGTATGGCTACGGCACGTAAGGCCAAGAAGCCAATCATACACTTCGGTGTGAAAGGTCAAAAGTCTTAAATTTGTGTCTGTTTTGTGTTGCTTTTTGTTGCACATTGACCTATTCACGCACTCCGCTGACATGATGGCTCAAGGCCCTTCAAGTCATTTGTGCAGTCATTCGACTCATGGTACATTGATAAAAGGCTTGCAGACCGCTTTACAGGTATAACAGTCAATACAAGCCACCAGGGACAATCCATCCTCCAATCCTCCATACTGGCATATTGGACTCTCTCGAATAGATCCAGGGACCAAATCAACGCCCTTCTGGCATAGGCCATTTTTTCGCCCTTCCAAAGCGGCGCGGCGCCTCCGGCCAGTCCGCCACCGACTTGCGCGCCCGTGCCGCGAGAAGCGACCCCGTGGCCAGGCAGCAGCAGAGCCAGGCGGAGCGGCGGCTGCAGAAGGAGCGGGGGAAGATGGCGGCGGTGAGCCGCCTGGAGGCGGGGAGCGGCCTGGGGGATGCGGCGGGAGAGAAGCCGTGGCCATGGGTTGCATGACCCATGTCTCCAGTTGTGGGCGGATGAACACCCATGTATCACCTGTTTTGATGTTCACCAGGGGTACGGGGTGTCGACCCAGCCACATGGCTGTTGGAGGTGTTGTTTGACATATTCATATACTGCTCTCTCTCTCTCTCTCTCTCTCTCTCTCTCTCTCTCTCTCTCTCTCTCTCTCTCTCTCTCTCTCTCTCTGTACATATACACATAAAGAGTTCAGTACGTATGAATATGTGTGGGGGCTTGGAAAAGGCTGGGGCCAAGTTTCTACCCTGCCGCTTTGGAGAAGCTCTGCAAACAAGCTGCAACAGCGTGGTGTGTCTTTGAGGGCAACCCTGGAAAGGGGGCTGCTTGGGCAGGCAAAGGGCAGCACCCACTTTGGAGGCTACCCCGTTTGGAGACAAACCCAAGTTGCGTATTTTGCGAGCTTTCCCGGACGCGACTACCATGAAGTCGATGGGTGTGGACCTCCACGGCATGGCGATTGGTATCATCTTGGTTTGGCGAGATATCCCCCGGTGTCGGCAAACCAAATTCATTACGACGCACCCTCTCCAAGCCTCTTCTCTAACCTAAAATCCCCGGCAAGCGAATGACGTTCAGCGCCGCTCCTTTGGCCTTTGAAAAACCTGAATGAAGTGCCAAACCCTAAGCTGGCGGAGCTTGGTCAAGGTGCGATGGATCAGGATTTCGGGTTGCGCTGAACTCTCCTATAGGACTGTTGCCAGACATAGCTTTCTCAACGTTCTTCTCAGCTTTTCGGCTTCTTGGTTGTCTTGTTGATTTTCCCCCGAAGTCAAACCAACCAGTTCACTTCACATGTGTCGTTTCGGCTTTTTGTTCTTTATTTTGGTTCTCAGTTTTATCACCACGCATCAACATATGCGTCTTTTAGAGATTTAGCGCGTTGCTCAGCGTTTTTTTCCAGAGTTTTCGAAAATTTTCCGGGTTTTGCGTCTTTTTCTTTTGTTTCCCGAACTCCAACCAATAAGTTCACTTCCGACAGGAATTTATCTCAGCGGAAGTCTGTCCAAGTCGTGTCAGGGCGTCCTGCCGAAGCAGATGCTCTTGAAAGCGCTGGCCTGAGCGAGCTGAGAGGATTCCCGCGGGTTTGGTGTTGGACCTCCAAGTTTTCGGATTTGCTGGTTGGGGGGGGGGGGAGAAAGTTGGGAGGGTCGGAAAATCATTCTGAATATTTATGGCACCAGGAAGACCATGATGTGGGACCTCAAACCGTGGCCAGTTGGCCCCTCGCCTCTTCAAAAGAGTCAAAGGGCCTTGGGCCGGCGGGTGCGAGAGTCCAATGGACGGTAAGGACTTATTCATGACACTTGGTTCAGCTACCGGCCTTTACAAGGGGCAGAATGCCGTTTCTTTTTTTGGTCGGCTTTGGAAAAGGTTGTTCGGGCAAGCGCCAGGCGCAGTTGATGGTTGTGGAAATGAGGGGTTAAGTATTCAATGTGCAGGCTTTGCGTTGGTATCACTGTGGGAATCCCATACCCCACCGAACAGATTTGGCTTTGGGCTGAAGCCCTGGGGACACCCTTTCCACGAAATCGCCTGCCGGCCCTACGTTCTACAGGTCTTTTGCCAAGACGGCTGTACAGATCCCTCGCTGCGCGCTTCGCGGGAGAGCGTCAAGGGCGCCACATGGCGAGGGCCAAATACTGGCCGTGCCATAGGCGCGCAGTTGCACGGTCACCGCGCGGCGGGGAATGTTCACCCCGGATGAAGTGAAACCCCTGGTTGATTTTTTGATTGGGGGGTGTCCCCTTTTAGTGGTTGGATTCAGACCACTTTTGGAGGGAACGCCTCCCTAAGAACGGGACGGGTCAACATTGGTTGGGGCGGTTTGCCTTTCGGCACGAACGGTCGGGCCCCTAGGCAGTAAAGATGCAAGCTCCATGGTTTCGGGTCACCTATGACTGAACTGTTATTGGGTTGGATCGTTAGACTTTAACTTTTTGGGAAATCAAGGGGTTATCCACTAAACCCCCTTTTTTTTTCAAACAAAAAAAAACACAAACAAACACCTTTTGCAGAGGGGTCAACACAAGATGACCACCTCCCACCATTCGCTCGGAGTTCTGATCGTGGCCTTTGTGTTACGGTTTCGAATGTGCCATAGTCAAAAGACTGGGATTCGTGGGGATGGTTTTTCATGATAAGGATTCCCATTGAGGTAGCCATGCGACACCAGGGGCGAGTGTGGGAATCCAGTCTTTTTTTGTCCGAGCCCCTTTTTGAGATTGAATACGAGGGCCTGAATAGTTGGAATGGAGTTGTGGGTACCAAACTCCTAATCATAGGATCAACCACTTTGTTTGGTTATGTTGCTCACATATTATCAGACCCTTTTTGTATTCTGGATATTGCGAATTCTTCCCAGCTTCTTTCTTTTGATTGAGCAGGTATTGAAATCTGGGTTCCCCCTCGCCAGAAACAGATTCTCGCCAACCGCTGGAAGTGCGCTGCCTCGCAGCGAGGGTGCTCCGCATTCGGTTTGAAGAGCACGATAAGCAGAAAATGGGGTGCGACGCTATGACGTGCTGCAAGTGCCTGAAGTCCTTGAGCTTGCTCCCGCGGAGTTCGTGAATTGCATTCGTCTTTTTCTTCTTTCGGGTCTCACCTTTTGCATATGGCGCACGGGATTTCCCAAGCATGTTGTTCCGGCAAATGTGAGCCGTGCGGCAGCTTGTTCTTTTTCTTTCTTGCCTCCGACCAGCCCAAATTGGCAAGAGATTACTGGCCCAGCTTTGAGCTGGGGATGACAAAAATGAGGAATGGACCCCTGCAAATGCTTACATGTGGTTTATAAATTTATGATCAGGGCTTCCTGTATTCACACACAGACACACACACACACATCGCATGTGGACATCTCTTCAGCCTGTAATCTTTGCGTGTGCTTCTTTTTGCCAGTCTCCCAGAAAAGGGCACGGCTTTTTCAAGCCTGAGCCAAGCGAGCGGGAAGCTTGCCAGACGCCGAGGGCTCGCCTTTGGATCTCGCTTAAGACAATCGCACCCCCCATGTCAAGCGTAGCCTTCTCCGGGGTTTCCCCAAACAGAGAAAGGCCAGGAGTTGCAAAAGCTGAGTACCTGACCTAGCCACCTTTTTTTGGCCGCAAGCAGTCAATCTGACGAAGTTAATTGGTTGCGAGAAGAGCTTGGACACTGAGCTTTGTGGGCAAAAAACAGATGGCCGGGGGAATAACGCACATTATCCAAGAATTCACTGTTTCAGCAGATTGCTCTTGGCAAACGCAGATCCAGCCAAATCGCCTTTCGCCTGCTCGCGCCTGTCTCCGTCCTTTTTGTTTCTCTTCCCTCCCCTTCTTTGATGTGCTTTGTCATGTCATATGTTTGTTACAACAAGTTGCATTTTGCCCTTCCTCTGATCCCTCCCACTAACATGGCACCTGACAGAGGGTCCCTAAAAGGCATATTCTCATCTTCCAGCTACCCTCCACAGATGCTACTGTGGATGGACGAAATCCATTTCGCACCACCTAAGAAACCCCGGAATGATGATTCCCCTTTAACTACCAACAAACAATAGTTTCACATTGTTTCAATCTATTCTAGTGAGGATTGGGATGTTCACTGGGGGTACGATTTTGGTTTTGACCCACAGCCATATCTTCATCTTCCAGATACCCTCCCACAGAGTCGCCATGTCGAACTTGGTTTCCAGGCCTTGGGCATGCAGGGCTTGCAGAGCCAGCGGCCCAGGGCCAAACTCCGGGCGTAGGCGCCGGATCCGGAGCTTTCTTCGTGTTAGCTGAGGGGGCTAGGTGCCTCAGCTAGGTGCCCTTTTTAAAACACTTTTTTTTTGGGGGGGAGGCTTCCCCTACTACAGTAGACCACCGGAAAAAGTTGGTGCCCTTATTCCAACCTCGCAAAACTGGAGGACCTAGGGGGTTTGGTGCGGATCTCTTTTGGGTTCCCTGGCGTTGCACGGCAAACCAAATGGGGGTTTAGGGGGTTCCCACAATTTTTTGTGTGGTTCCCGGTTCGGGCTCCAAGCCTCCAGGGGCAGGACCTGATGGTTCGCACGTCAGAAGGCAGGTGCTGGTTGGTGTTGGCGCAAACGACACCTGGTTCTTGGAGTGAGGGAAATCAAATCTCTTCAACATTCTCTTGCGGTTTCTTAGGCTTAGGTGCATCCCCTTCCCTCACTTCTCGAGTTTCTGGACTTGCGTCACTTTTTGGGCCTGGACCATTTTAGTTTGTTTGAAGTTCGGAGACTTCTTCTGGCCAATCCACTCCTGCGGAGGTGAGCTAAATCGTTTTTTTTTTTTTTTAGATAAAACCAATGGGGGTTTTCACCCCCCGTTGCCCATCCCTTGCGGTTTCTTGGGGTGATCCATTCCCTTCCGGTGCATTCCCTTCCAGCTCCGAAGTGCCGCTCGCGGCGCGCTTGAGGCTCCAGTCCTCCCGGTCTCGAAGGCTACTTCGCCCGAGGAGGACTTCGGGGCGGAGGGGAGTCCAGTGGCCCCTTTTCCCAGGGCGGTTTTGGGCAGGCGGTGCCGTGAAGCATTCTCTGTATGAGTAAAACTGGGGGTTGAGTATTCCTTTGCTGTGGGATGGCTGCAAAAACAAAACGTTTCGCAGGAAATGAAGGAACGGTTGACACTTTTCGTAGCGTGTGTTGGTTGCTGGGGAATCGAATCATTCCAGGGTTCCTGAACGGTGGTGCGGGTTGGGGTTCGTGACCTGAGGGTTCTGGCAAAGGTTTTGGGAAGGGACGACTCGGAGTCCTGAGAAGCCAGCAGAATGGCGTAGGTTGGGAAAATTCGGACCATCTTTTGGATTTTAGAGTCATTCTATCCAGAGACAAATATGTACATTGTAACCTGTTCAGGAGAGGATGTCTCGACATTGCTGGGCACCCAAGTGAACGAGATTGCCGCCCTGCTGAGCTGCATGAGTGCGGCGGAGGCCGGATATTGAAGAGCCATGGCTTCGTTTCTTAGGGAACCAAACGGAAAAAAGGAGTGAGCCTTATGCTCCACCTTACTGCTTCTACTGCCCGTCCCCTTTTTTGGTTTGAGGGGACACCGAACAAAAGTCACTCCCCGAGTTGCATGCATTTCATACTTCCCGGGGAGAAATGACTTTTGCTCCGAGCTGATCGCAGCCCATCCATGGGCTCCAAGTTTCTACCTGCGGGACTTGGATAACTTTGTGCGAGAGGAATTCTGTGGCGAGCGTCCTTTTTGGGCCTTTGTCGGGCCCAGCCACTCGGGAAATCAGGAACTGCAGGAAATTCTCTGTTTGACACTCTTGCGGAAATTACAGCACGAGGCACGGAATGCTTCTGAAGCCTTGGACCTGCGACAGATTGTTTGCCCACCAACACACACACACACACACACAATATGCTCGCCTTTTGGCATGTGAAAGATCAACCCAGAACGAATCATCGCATGTGGGTCTTTCTCGGAAGGCCCGAGAACGGGGGTAGTATCTGGATGGCTCTTCAGTCCGGACGGCTCGCAGCTTCTCAGGGGTGATGAAGGTTGCCGAGGGTTGCTGTACGGTCGACTTCTGACCCGAACATCGCGGCGGCCGATCAAATGTTGAGCACGAGCCTCACAAAGAAAAACCGGTCACTCGCTCACCTCGCGAGCCTCGCTTCAAGCAGAGAGTTTGGCAGACTGGCTCGTTTCACGTGTGGTTCACGAGGGAACACTGGGAGGGAGAGTCGCCTTTGCATCCAGCCAAAACGGGGTCCAGTTTGAGAACCGCCCCCCCCCATGCGTTGTCTGTGTTCTTGTTGTTGGTGAGCCACCTGGCGATATCAATGCGAAGCCACGTTTAAAGAAACGGCAAAGAACGTCGAACGCATGTTGCTATACTAGGTCCCCCAGTAGTGCCCTTTTACCTTTTTTTTGGGAGGCTTCCCCTACTAAAATAGACAGAAAAAAGGCTACCGTTATTCTAGCCTCTCTACTGGAGGACCTAGTATAGCTTGAGCCTCGCCTGGTCGAATTTCTGAAGTCAGGAGTCTTCAGGCCATCTCTGCACGTTAAATCACCCTATCCAGTGATTTCATTTACCTGGCAACTAATGAGAATCACCCTTGAAGGCTGACCAGGGTGCTTTTTTTTGGTGACGGCGCCTTTTGGGGTGGTTGAACAAGGAGATTCAAAGGGGAACCCGTTCAACGGAAAGGGTTCTCTATTTGGACACGCCACAGGATGACTGGTTCCGAGGGCCCAGTCGAGCAGTGATTCCCACAGGCAGAAACGCTTCAGCAGGAACTGATGTCAGACCGCTTTTCCAGGTCCGAAATGCGCGAAGCAAAAAAACATCGGACCACACAATTCGCGCTTTTCCACAATGTCTGCCGCGGGAATCAGAAGAGCCGGATATGATGCCAGAACGCTTTGGAGATACCCCATTGGCAGAAAACTTAACTGTTTGGCGCTGCTCACTTGGGGAGTTTTCCCCGGCCGCGTCAAAGCGCCCGGATTAAAAACATGTTCGAGCCCCTATTATTTGAGCAAGTTCCTGTTGACACCCCCGGCGACTTCTGTTTCTTTGAATTCCCAGCCCAGAAGGCTCTTTCGGGCCTTTTCTGGGAGCTCGCTAAGCGTAAGCCTGTAAGCCCCTGAAGGTCTTGTTTGGGGATTCTGTATCGCGGCTTGAGCTGAGGCAATGAACAAACTCAGTGCGATGAAATTCGCCGATGGAGATGTAGCGGTGCTGGCCACCCCAATGGACTCCCCAGCTGATGATCGAAGCCATTGTCAGGTGAGGCGATGACTGCGTGAGTTGCGCGCTGCAAGACCGGTGGCGTACCCAGAATTTTGTTGACCCCATATTCATCACTCCCTTGTTTAATAGGGGTGTCCCTGGGTTGGTGACTCCATCACTTTTGGAGGGGAACAGCCCCCTAAGAACCGGGGTTGATGAATACATGGTTGTCGGGAAACATTGTTTGCTTGTTGTGGTTTGGTGGTGGAAATCCAACCACTTAACTGCTAAAATCTGAAGAAAATGCTCCCCTTCCAACGTCAACCAAGAATATGGGGTCTGCATTCTGTTCTCGGCCGCCAGGCCAAGAGTATCAACGGCTCCCCGCCCGCCTACGTGAAGTGCGGGGCCCAGAAAGCCATCGAACATGCGCCAGCGACCGAGACTCGGATGGTTCGGTTGGTTTTGGAATCTATCCGTTTGCGCAGGGCTCCTTAAAAGATTCATTTTGCCCATTTGAAACATGGCTTTTTCCACCAACATAAAGGGACACCACCATTTACAAGGCAATGTTCAGGTGTATAATGTAAGGATCCCTGTTGCGCTGGATCCAAATGTTGTGTTCTTTGCGCAATATGGCTGTGGCTTAAAACAGTGGTACCAACATGTCACCCTGGTAATTTTTTCAGCCAAAGACAAAAACCAAAGGCGTAGCCCCAGCTCATTCATTTTCAGCCATACCCATATTTATCCAGGGAAGGGAGAGACGCCTTGTGATCAGGTCGATTCCAGCGGTGTCTGGGGGGTTTCTTCTCACGCCTTTGAGGCCTTCCTTTGGACAAGACCCGGAGGCACTGCAGGTCCTTCTGGCACGGGCGCCCGGGAACCGGGGACTCGGGGACTCGGAGGTTGCAAAGAAAGAGACCGGCGCGAGGTGCCAAATGATGGGTACCCGTTGGGTCGCGAAACCCAACTTGAAGCCCATTTGTTTTTGAGAGTTTATATTTTTTGTGGTGCTTGAAAGGGAAGCCACAGACAAGCCGGTCCACCCATTTCGGGCAAGGTCTCCAATCCAATCTGGAGACCCATTAAATGGGAAAGCGGGATCCCGCGTGCCCTTCAGACGTCCGTTGCCTTAGGATCCCGGGCAGGGAAGAGGTTGAAACCGCTGCTCTTTGGAGCCTCGAAAGGTCCTCTCTCTAAACGAACCAGTTCTCGTGTCAGCTGCCTTCGCAGGGGCGAGCTTTTTTGGTCGGGGCCAACAAACTGGCTATGGCTCAAAAAACCGGAATTCCAAAATGGAACCCTGGCAATTGGAAACATGGACCAAAGCCTGCGTAACCCCTCTGGTTAATTTTGAGCCACGCCCAACTCAGGTGGTTTGGATTGGTTCGGATCGGGATTTGAAGCCCTGATTCTTGAGGGTAGATGGGGGGAAACCCCTCCAATTCACCGCCAAGCCAGCCTTTTCGTTGGTCCGTCCCGGCTTGCTGTGTTCGGTATGCCGCTCATGCCACCAAACCACCAATTCCAAATGGGTGTGGCTCAAAATTGAGAATCTAGGGTTACGCAGGTTTTAGTGATTGGTTCCATTTGCCAAGGCACCATTTTGGTGCATGGGTGTGGCTCAAAATTAACCAGAAGGGGTTACGCAGGTTTTGGTCCATGTTTTCCACTTACCAGGGTTCCATTTTGGTACCGGTTTTTGAGCCATAGCCATATGTTTTCGAGCCACAGCCAAAGCACCTGGGAAGCTGGAAACTCCAAGTCCTCCCAGGCCGCGCGCGCCATGCTGGAGAACAACAACTTCGCGCCGAAGCAGTGCCGGGCTGAGACGCAACCCGGGTAATTGGAGGCGCTGCAACTTTGACCGGGAGAAGAGCAGCAGTTGTTTATTTTTTCCGCTTTTTCCTTCCACAATTTCAAGCACATAGTCGAAGGGGCTTATGTGCAACCTATTCCACGGGGGGCTAGTCCAGTTTCAGAAACCACCCAACTGAAGGTCCCGGGCAGGTCCCGTTTGAAGACGCGCACGAGCGAGGTGTGGGATGTCCCACAGCAGGAAAATGCCACCTAATCCACATCCGTCGACATGGAAGCCACGACGAAAGGAAACGAGTAACCTCACGCAGCGGGGAGTGTTTAACCTCCGGAACAAAGGCTCCTATGTGGGATCGGTATTTTTCCCCAAACAGTTTACTGTGAGGGGTTTTAAATTCACTCAAAGTGACTCGCCTATTGCCAAGCCATAGCCTGAATGCATGGCACGGCTCTCTGGATGGACGGGTTCATTTGTCTCCCTTTGTCTCCCTTCCGTTGTCTCCCGTTGTCTCCCAGCCTGGATGCCTGGCACGGCTCTCTGGGTGGACGGGTTTATTTGTCTCCCTTTGTCTCCCTTCATTTGTCTCCCGTTGTCTCCCAGCCTGGATGCCTGGCACTAAATGGACGGGTTCATTTGTCTCCCTTTGTCCCAGCCTGGATGCCTGGCACGGCTCTCTGGGTGGACGGGTTTATTTGTCTCCCTTTGTCTCCCTTCATTTGTCTCCCGTTGTCTCCCAGCCTGGATGCCTGGCACTGGGTGGGCGGGTTCATTTGTCTCCCTTTGTCCCAGCCTGGATGCCTGGCACGGCTCTCTGGTGGACGAGTTCATTTGTCTCCCTTTGTCTCCCTTCATTTGTCTCCCGTTGTCTCCCAGCCTAGCCTGGTGCCTGGCACGGCTCTCTGGGTGGACGTGTTCATTTGTCTCCCTTTGTCTCCCTTTGTGTTTGTTTTTTCCGTTTGTCTCCCGTTCTCGGGGTGCGTTTGTCTCCCAGTCTCCCGGCCTGGATGCCTGGCACAGCTCTCCAAGCGTTCCCAGCCTGGATGTCTGGCATTCATTTGTGTCCCTTCATTTGCCTCCATGTTGGTGGTTGCCTGGCACGGCTTTTTGGGTGGCGGGTTCATTCTCCCTTTGTCTCCCTTCATTTGTCTCTTGTTGTCTCCGAGCCTGGATGCCTGGCACGGCTTTGTGAGTGGACGGATTCATTTGTCTCCCTTTTTTCACTTTATTTCTCCCCGGTTGCCAGCCTGGATGCCTGGGACGGCCCTCTCCCAGCCTGGATGCCTGGCAATGATTGTGTGTTCTTGGTGTGTTCCAGCTGACCACATCGGCGCGTTCCAAGTGAACACGTTTTTTGGCAATGTTGGTTTCCAAGAGTTGGCGCGGGTTGCTGCGATGGGCTTTGTGTGGCTTTCAAGGGTGTAATGTTGCAGTTCTTACTTAGTACTTGAAGCCAGCCCGCACGTTTACCTTCATCTGACGTGGCCTTAATTTGTCAAATCCACACAGATGGTCGCCGTGAGTCCAAAAAATACGGCGATGCCGCGCTAGCCGCGCGATAGCAAGGCGCTAGCGCAGTGGTCAGCTGTGACCGGTTGCCTCAGTGCCAATTTGCTTCCGCTCTCCTTGCGTGCAATTACCATAGAATGCGATTTGCTGGACAAACGGGAGACAAAACGGCAGGCAAGAAGGCGGATGCCTTGTACGGAGCATACGGCAGAATTGGGTTCGTATTCCTCTGCGAAAGCATATGCTTTACTGAATCGATACGAAGCGAGAAAGAAGCGCAATGCGCCGGACAGCTTGTGCTAAGATGGAGCCTGTAAATGCTGGACACGCGCCCGATACTGATAGTATTAGCAGTAGTAGCAGCAGCAGCAGGCTTGCGCTAGCAATGTGTTGCAAAATTGCTAGATTGATCGTAAGCGAACACTACTTTCCTACTTGGAACACGCATATAGTGGAATAGCGCCTCACAGCCGGCTTCACGAACTTGATTTATGTGTCGCACAGGCTTGCAGAGCAGAGAATATAACTATGTGAACACATTTTTGTTGTTTAGGTGAACGCATGTGTGCTGCACAATTGTGTTGCACATGTTCCTCCACATGTGCACATACGTGTGTTCCATGTGTACACATCTGTATATGTGTGTTACAAGTCTCAGCACAGAAGGTTGTTCTGGTTAAACACCAGTGTTGCGCGTGAAGACAAATGCCTGTTCCAAGATGTATGCGTACACGTGAACCGTGTACACATTTGTGTGTTCACGTGTGCACACATGTGCGTTCCAACTGGACACGTGTTTGTGTTCCAGGAACACATGTTTGTTATCAGACGAACACGCGTGTGTGTGTGTGTCTGTTTGCGTGTACTTGCGTGTACACATATGTGTTTCCACGTGTACACATATGTGTGTTCACATGTACACGTATGCGTGTTCCACGTGTACACATTTGTGTGTTCACGTGTGCACACATGTGCGTTCCAACGACACGTGTATGTGTTCCAGGAGAACACATGTTTGTTATCAGATGAAGACACGTGTGTTCTCCGCATGCACATGTATGTGTGTTCACGTGTACGCATATGTGTGGTGTACACGTGTGCACACATGTGCGTTCCAACTGGACACGTGTTTGTCTTCCGAAAACACGTGTTTGTTATCAGACGAACGCGCGTGTGTGTGTGTGTGTGTGCGTGTTCCGGGTGTGCATATATATGTGTGTGTGTGTGTTGACGTGTACGCATATGCGTGTTCCATGTGTACACAGTTGTGTGTTCACGTGTGCACACATGTACGTTCTAACTGGACACGTGTATGTGTTCCATGAGAACACATGTGTGTTATCAGATGAAGTGCTCCGCATGCACATGTATGCGTGTTCACGTGTACGCATATGGGTGTTCCACGTGTAGACATTTGTGTGTTCACGTGTGCACATGTGTGTACCGGACACGTGTTTGTGTTCCAGGAGAACACATGCATGTTATCAGATGAACACGTGTGGGTCCGCTCCGCATGCGCATATATGTGTGTTCATTTGTACACATATGTGTGTTCCACGTGTACACATGTGTGTGTTCACGTGTGCACACATGTGTGTTCCAATTGGACACGTGTTTGTGTTTCAGGTGAACAGATGTGTGTTCCACGTGAACACATTACTATGTGCTAGGTGAACATGTTTTTGACCTGACGACATATTTGCTCTCCATGTGTACACATGTATGTGCTCCAGAAACCACATGATTGTTATCGAGGTGCGCGCATGTGTGTGTGTGTGTGCGCTTTAGGTGAACATTTATGTTTGCTCACGCGTGCACGTATTATGTGTGTTCCACGTGTGCACACATGTGTGCTTTAATCGCACACGCGGTGTTCCTGGACACATATTTGTGTTCCAGTGGTATACATGTGTGTGTGCCCACATGTACACACATGTATGCTTTAATTGCACGTGTTTGTGTTCCAGGTGAACACACGTGTGTTCCACGTGTACACACAGGTGTGCCTGAATTGGACCCACGTTTCATCGTGTTCCAAGTGAACACATGTGTGTTCCACGTGAACACATCAGCGTGTCGTAGGTGAACACGTATTTGTGTTCCAGGTGTACACGTGTGTGTGTGTGTGCTTTGCAAGAAGCACCCGTTGGTTTTCCAGTTTAACGCGTGTATGCGTGTGCCGCATGTAAACGTATATGTGTGTGTTCACGGGTGGATATCTGCGCGTGCCGCGTGTACTGTTTCAGTCGTACACATATGTGTGTTCCACATGTACACACACATGTGTGTCTGAATTGGACATGTGTGTCTGAACTGCCCATGTGACCGCGCGCTTGCGCAGCCACACTTGCGTTCAGCGCGCTTGCCCAACCTCAGTTCCTGCGCGGTGCTGAAGCGCGAAGCGGGCCAGCAACACACTTGCAGCAACGCAACGCGTTCCGGGTTCTGTTGAAGCGCAAAAAGCCACAAGCTGTTGGCATGTATGTGCTTGCCCGTCAGTCCTCAACTGTTTGGGGTCTCTGCTGGTGTAATTTGTTCTTCTTCTTTTTTCGAGGGTGCCCTTTGTTGGTATCAGGTCATCAGACAGGGGACAAATCTGGCGGGCGCGTGCATCTCCGAGGATGGGCGCCTGAGTTGGAGGCCAGAAACTCCGCACAGTTTGCCCAGTCGCAGGTAGTTTTTGTGGATCCTCGTTGGTCGTGACGCTCAATGGGCAAAGCGCGTTCGTGGTTTCGCGGTTCACTTTCTGGGCTCCCAGCGAACTGCCAATGCTACCAGCTCTCTCTGAGTTGTTTTTGTTTGTTAGTCGCGCACGACTTGGCTTGGAAGGTTTGAGCGCTTTGTTGCTTGGCACGCTGGGAGTCGGCACCCCCCCGTTTCTTCCGGTTTGTTTGGGCAGCCATTTGCCTTCACCGGACCTCCCCATTTTCGCGGATACTTTGGGAAATCCTCAGAGTTGCTGAGCACCGACGGTGTGGCGTGGGGAAATTGGCCAGCTCATGGCTTCAGTGGGTCAGCTCATTGCTTGTCTTTCGGCTGAGAAACAAACCCAAATGACCCGAGCTGGCAGCCCCACGCCCACTAGAATGGGCGAAATACGCTTAGCTTCGCGTGGCCGTGGGCTCATTGGCTGCTTTCTTGGCCTGTTCCAAGCGTCAAGTCGCAGTTGGTCTTCAGGGAACCTAACCGGCGTGTTGGCTCTGGGGACAGCTGCGGTGACCACTCCTGGCATGCCAAGCTTCTCAGGTCTCTGGCCTGGAGGAGCACGAACCTTGAAGCGCCAGGGCCGGATGGTATTTTTTGAAAAAGCTCAATGTTTCACCTGAGACAGGCTTTTCGGCTTTTCCGTCTGCCATCCGGTGAATGGAGTTACGGAGTTGCGACTCGAGCGTTGCACGCTGTGCCGTGAGGACGCTCGCCGACTTTTTGACTTTTTCTTTTGCTGGTCCGAAGCCCCAGCACATCTGTACCTCGCACACGTGCGTGTTCTGGCACTGGGCGAGATCTCGGCCCTTCGAAGCGATAGCTGGGTCCCGAGACCAGAATCTCGTGGACCGTGGAGGCAGGGGTTGCGCTTTCGGGGTGTCTCTTAGTTGGGGTTTCCCCAAAATGGCGGACACGTGGGTGTTTTTTTGTGCGGTTTTCGAGGGCAACCGAAAGGAACCCAAAGTTGGGCAGGCATTTTGGGGTGTTCCCCCAGGTTGCCCATTCTGGGAATTCATCTTTTCCAAGTAAACCCGTTCCCCGATTTCAGGAAGCCTTCATGTGCTCTCACCCAACCCGGCCCACACGACCCAGCTTCGCAATGGCGCGGGTCTACTAGGCCTTCACGACCATGTTTATTTCCTGGTGGCGTGCGCCCATAGATTTGAAGCCCTGGTACTCGGAGTCACAAATTCGAGCCTCAGTCGGCGAGACGAGCTGCATGCTGTCAGTGGTAAATTCCTTTTTCGGGTTGATTTGAAGGGAAATCTCAAGGACGCAAACGCTTCAGTTTGGAGGTCCATGTTATATCTTGAGAAACGCAACCAGCCCATGTTGCAATTCAACGCCTTCTGTCGCAATGGGATGTGGCTGCTCTGACCTCTGCCCGAGGCCAGTGGCAGTTTGAACTCCGCAGTACCAAGTTGCGACATGCCCCAGAAAGTTTGTAAGAGAATCGTGAAGTCGTTGGTCAAATCGCAGATTCCAACAGAGACAATCTTGTTGCAGTTCCTTCCCAGCGCAGTTCTTAGCGGTTCACAGCCAGCGGTTCCCAGCGCAAATTGCAAATCGGCGATTTGATCAACAGCCCATTGGCCCGGCCTGTGCGTATTGCACACTGTTCAATTGGCAAGCATCGGTTCGAGCTTCAACAAGAGCTGCTTCGAGTTCCGCTTGCCAATCGTGTTTACTCGTTTGCCTCCGGGAGCATTCCATTATGCTTCTGAGTTTGGCTGTTCGGCATCTAAGCGATCGATGGAAGAGACATCTGAGCCGTGTTGGTCAAGCACGCACAGTTTTTTGCCGAACAAATCACGGGGCACCCCTTGAAAAATCGGGACGTAAGTTTGAGACCATCGAGACCTCAGCCGGCTCAGAAGGCGGATGGACCCGGAACGCCGGGCGGAAGCAGCGACCTTCGGGGTATGCAGGTGGCGCTTGCGGGCGAGTTCAAGGACCAACTCGCCTTTTGCGAGCCCGCGGCAGCGGGCGCGGACGGCCAAATGCGGCCAGGCTTCGTGCTCCGCAATGCCCGGTGGTACAGGCCACCTGGCCAGGTCCTTTGCCTGCAAAGGATGAAAGAGCTATAGGAAGATAGAAGATTAATGTGGCATGTGACATGGTTTAATTCATTGGCTCGAATTTCAGGTTGTTTTTCTTGCTTGGAAGTTTCAGTCAGCTCGCTTCAAGCGGCACACTCCGCGTTGTCAACGGAGGCGTGCCGTCGCGCTGTGTTTCAAGTCGTCGCGCTTCCCCGGCAAAGGCAAATTGGGATCAATCCAAACGCTGCGGATGAAAGCGGCCGGTGCAGCTTGGGGGATTTTGGTTGGCAGGTTTTCTGCCCTGAAGCTCTGAGATGAGACTCCGAAACCCTGGGCCAGGGAGCTGCGAGGCTTGTCAAATTTCTTCCCAATGTGTCGGACTCGACGAGCCTTCGCTCGTCTTATCTAAACCGCTTTATCCCTTGAGCGGCTAAATGCTAGCTGCATATTTCTAGGACTACCTTGCCCATTCTTTCCAGGGATCCTTCTTTTCAGGAAACCATCAAAAACCCAAAGAAGCAGCCGGTGTTTGAAAAGAACGATGCTTGAAAAGAATGGGACATCAACCTAGAATATTCCATCAATTTTGCTGCGACCCAGTGGTAGTGGAAACCGCACAACCCAAGGTCAACTTCGGGCTGATCCGTGGGGCCCGTGTCATCGGTGGGTTTCCCCCTTTAGTGAGGAATGAACCCATGTTTCTGGGGATCCCAGCGATTGAATCTGCCTATCTTATGACGAGCTCACCAATTCCGGGGGCAAAGCGAGCTCACCGTGATGTAGGTCCTTTTAAGTCTGGCATCCCTTCTACAGGTTTTGTAGTTGTGCTAGTTGCAGATTGAATGTGGCCCAGATGAATCCTTCAGGCAAGTCGAGAGCATTTGGTTAGACCAGCCGAGTGGGCGAGTGGGCGGCGGTCCCGTTTGTTTACCCAGCTGACGCACCGAGCAAGAACAAAACAGGGTCCGAAGGAGATCGTTTCCTTTGGTGATCCCCTTAAAGGGAATCAATCGAGGCACTAGGATTCGACGTCTGGAGCTTTCGGTTCTCGGAATGCCCCTCATATTCGAGGGACAAACATTTTACATTTTAAGGTTCCCCATGCATGGGGAGTTTTGGAAGAGAGGCTCTGTTGTCCTTGGGGGAAGGCTGGAGGCATCCGAGAGTTGACTTGCTGGTCAGGGAATCATCGGGTTTTCGGAAACCAACGGGATCCCTAGGAAACCAGAAGGGATGGTTCAGTCTGGGATCAATCCCTTCGAGAACCTGCTTAGAGGGCGGTGGGGGGAGGGCCAGCTCTGGGGGAACGAGTTGCTGAGATCAGATCGCCGCCCGCAGTTTCGGTTTGCAGTCGAACGACAGAACCGTTTAGGTTTGTGCAACACCAGCAAAGCCGGGGGCCCCCGACAACAGGAGGTGGACAGGTCTCCGCTTTTTTCAGACCTGCTGAAAAAAAAAGGTCGTGGCGTTGACATCAAAGGAACCCCTGAGCTCTCAGCATTTCTTGGCGAAACCCCAACCGGTGCCCTGTCAGTGTGTTTTCGGCCCCTTGCCACGAAGATGCGTGCGTACGTGCGCCTTTTTTGTTGGTTTTCTTTTGTGTGTGTGTGTGTTGCTCTTGTTTTGTTTGCTTGCTTTCTTGCTTGCTTGCTTGCTTGCTTGCTCGCTTGCGGACTAGCTTTGAATGGACCAGTGGCAGACAAAAAGTCCAAGGACTTTCTTTGGCCACTCCACTCAGGAAGTGAGGGGGGTCCTTCTTTCCTTTTGACTGGGGGTTATGAAAAAGTTGCCCTTTCCAAAGTCACTTGAGGGGTGACTTTGACATCGTCAAAATGGCCGTGGGTCAAACCAATTACCATTTTGGGGGGATGTTCACTGGGGGTACGGGCTTTTGACCCATGGCCAAATAATGAGCCCACTAACCCCGAGCACATTTTTTGGGCCCAACCGAAAGGGACGAAATGGAGGTCACCAGGCAGGTTTGGGGTATGAACGACGGAGAGGCAACACAGGGATTTGTTTTGAATCAGACTTAGGATACATTTTACATTTTACCGGTGACTCAAAGGGAAGCAAACAATAGAATATACATTCTATAACTGGGCCTAAGTCTAATCATGAATCTGTTTTGCACAAGGTTCATGAAATCCAACATGCTATTTTGGCTTTCTTGGGCAAAAACTGAGGGAGAGAAGGGGATGTAACCTCAGCTTTCCAGATGACCAAAGTACATGAGGCTGAGGTCCAGGCTCCATACCAGTGGCAATTTAGTACGAGGCAAGACAAAGGATGCTTTGTGAATCTCATGGCGAGGATTCTTTCCAAATCGCAAAGAAAGATCTCGAGTTATACCAAGGCCATGCTTATCAACCTGGTGTGTGGGGGTGGGCCACAAAAGCTGGAATGCCACTGAGTGGGTTCCCTGTTGTTCAATTCCCTTGGTTGGTTTTCCAGAAGGGCGGACTCGGGGGCATGCCCTGTGCCTTCTTGGCATGATCGCCAAAATTAGGGGAGGGAAAAAGCGGCAGGAAGAACGGCACCACGGTCCAACAAGCGGCCATATTTTTGGGGACTCCCATTTTGGATGTTCCATGTCCTTTTTTGCCTTCCGCTTCCGGTTTCCCTTTGAATCCAACAGCAACAGGGTGTGTCTTTTTTAAAGTTAACAATCTTTTGGGCTGGTAAGGGGAAGCCAAGAGGAAGCCCAAACAACCGGTAGGTTCCTCCAGTTTTTTCACCCCCACCCCACCACAGGGTAGCCGTTTGAAGCACTCCGAGGACGCCCGAGATGTGGAGCTCTCAGCCGAAAGCCCAGGGGTTGATGCGACCTCTGCGTCTCATTGGGAACACGAGAAACACCCCGCCGTGCCGGGGGTTTTCCGTTTTGCCGTTTTACTGGAAACAGCGGTGGGACTGGTTACTTTTTTTCTCTTTCCGGTTTTGCCGCAGAAGCTGTTCTACCGTTTTACTGTGAAAAAAGAGGTATAGCCGTTCTACCGTTTTACGGGGTGGGTGGGGGGGTGGGGAATGTAGAAAGGCTCAAATCTCAAGTCTTCCGAAATGCTGCGTGCACCAAGGGGAATGAGTGCTCAGGGGATTCGCATCATTGGTTCGCAAGTCGCTTGCTAGGAAGACCTTTGTTGAAGAGAGCCACGTCCTGGAAACGCGGGGAAGTGAAGGTTAAGGGACAATTCCTTTGCCACAAATAGCTGCGGATATCCGCCTTCTTGGTTCTTTAAATGGTTCTGGGTAGACCATTTTAATACCGGGTTTTGATTCTGACTCAAGAGGGAAAGGAGTTGGAGTTTCGCAGAAAGCTACGCCCTAGGGTTTTGCCCCAAACATGGCAGCCATCTTTGCATAGCATTGCTGTGCGCACGGGCTGCTTGCACAGCCTGTGATTTCCAAGCGGGAGCTGCCCAAGTGTACTTCGCGTACTACGCTTGTAGAAGAGTTGTGATTTCCGAGCTGGAGCTGCCAGAGTGTACTTCGCGTGCTATGCTTGTGTTGCAAAGTTGAGTTGGAACAGCCAAAGCACTCTTTGTGCACTTAGCTTGTGTTGACAAGTTCGCTGTCAAAAACACAGCAAACCTGTCGGGGAAGAATCACAGTTGGGACAAGCAGCAAAACAGATTTTGCGCAACTCCAAGTCACGAGTTGTACTTTGGTGGTTTTTTCGCTTGCGTTTTCCGTTTTGCCGTTGTGCCGTTCTGCTCTTTTACTCGTGGAATACGGTAAAGCCTTTTTAACGTCTTACCAACGGAATCGGTGGGAGGATTCACTAACACCGACCCCACCGCCCAACCAGCGCAGCCAAAAAAGGCTGGTCGCCGTGTGGTTTGCCTTTAAAGCCAGAAGGAGGCCCTCCAAAAAACAAGAAGATGAGAGAGAGTACCTCAGATGTCGATGAATTTCAACAGTTCCTGGTTGGTGGACATGAACCCCCACCTACCTGATGTCCTAAATGAGAGTTTCTGAGACCCCGTTTTTAAAGGGACCACAACAAAGTAAACCACAATTTTAGGGATCGTTAAATTTTGACCCCGTATCAATCAACCCTAGTTCATTAATAGGGGGTCCCTTGGCTTAGAGGGGAATCATCACTTTTGGAGGGGGCCCCCCTATTCATAAACAGGGCTTGACGAATATGGGGTCAACACTATGAATCAAAAAAGCGGTGGGGGTCGAACAAACAGGCCCTCCCGCAAAAATTATTGACCACCAGGGGTTCCCTATGGGTGCCTCTCCAGGTAGGTGGTCTCTCCTTTTGGTTTTTTCCCATTAAACACCGTCCAAAAAGGGGCGGCCCGGTCTATGTTGAGACGCCCTTCAAGTAGAAATCGATGGGTTCCACGTCAGATGGGCTTGTTTTTCAAGGAACCCGGGGAAACCAGCCGCCTCGCCTGTTTCCGCCCAATGGCAGCCGCCGCCAGCAGCCGCGGACGTAGGTTTCTCAAGGCCTCCACGCCGACCGCGGACACTAGCAGGGGGAGCCCAGCGCGCCAGCGCGACGGAGTTCCGCGCGGAGGTGGGTTGGTCTCAAGATGAGTTGGGAGCTTCCCAAAACGGACGGTTCTTTGGTTTCCCCTTGAAAGTCAAAACGGCACATGAAAAATAGTACGCGCCCACGTCTGGCTGTTTTTGATGGAATTGCCCAGTTCCCGTCGGGGGTGGCTCAAACATCATTTTGGGCTTTTTGGCAGCAAGTCTGCTAGAAGTGGAGCGTTTGCGGGTGAAGTACAGGGAGCCCAGAAAGGGTGTCATATGATTATAAGACTTTCCCCGCTGGATTTGGATTTGTCCAGCTCCCTCAAGTGAGCCAGCAAGCAAGCAGGCAGGCAGGCAGGCGGGCAGGCGGGCAGGCGGGCAGGCAGGCAGGCAAGGGAAGCGACACTAAACCAGCCCTACGTCCACCTTAAGCCACCCCCTACTACCCCAACCCACCCAGCACCGCTCGCGGAGTGCGAGTCTCGCTGCTCGACACTGCGCCAACCTCAGCGCCAACCTCAGCGAAGCTCTGCGCGTGTCTTCGCTGCGCGCGGTCGGCCATGATTTTGTGTAGTGGGAGCTAAATTGGCCAAGCATTGAAGTAAATCCTTCCACTGGCATGGGTTTGGGGTGGGCTTAGGATGGTTTGGGGTGGCTCTGGAGTAAGTTTGGGGTGGGTTTGGGGTGGTCTTGGTGGGGACGTAGCGCAGGTTTGTAGGGTGGGTTTGGGGTAGGTTCTGGCGATTGGGTTTGGCTCTGGTATTTTGCTTTTTGGGGTGGATTTGGGTGGGGCAGGTCTAAGGTAGATTAAAGATTAGCGGTAGGTTTGGGGTGGCTTTTTGCAGTAGATTTCAGGTTTGTTGGGGGGTGTAATGTAGATGGTGGATTTGGGCTCAGGGCGGGTTTCTTCCAAACCAGCCACCACTGGCCGAGGCAAAAGTCTCCCGTTCACCTGCAAGACCTTCCCCGGGCATAAGATCGCGCGCGAAGCGAGATCTCGCGCCCACCCTCTCCGACTCTCTACGCCGACCGCAGGATCTTTTCAAAGACCAGGGCACGGGAGTTCCGGTCAGACATTGGTTTGGGTCAGCAAAGAGGTTTGGTCGCGAAGGACCGTGCTGCCTTACTAGACGTGAATTCACAGTTCCACCCAAACAATATGCTACGCGCGACAAACATATCTTTGACACTCCCAGCTGACGAGCCTCTCGGCGTGCCTGTGTTCTTTGGCAGCTTTCAACAACAATTGTCTCAAAAGAGGAAACCACCTTTCCTTTTGGGGTCTCTTCCAAACAACCCTAGAAAAATCCCGAGCCTCAAAAGCAACAGACACGACACGCCAGAAAACAAAAGAACCAGCCCCGACGAAACCTGGGTTCCTTTCACTGGAATTTTTGAATGTGAGCCTTGCAGCTCAGGTTCCACCTCTGCACTTTCAAACACTGCCAGCAGCCCAGACACGGCGAGAGAAACGGAGCCTTGTGGCATGCCTGCCCTTGCATGCTTCCATGAGACTAAGCTCGGAAGGAGCCACCGGAACCTGCCAAAAACTGGGAAGAAGCTTGTTTCATGCTTTTCGAGAACAGTGCACAGAAGTGATGTCCATGATTCGCGAGCGCTTGTTGCACAAGTCTCGGATGAAGTCGGTGCTCAAAGCTTGCATGGAGGTCCCACCTTTCTGCGGAAGACGCGTTGCGCGTTGCTTCAACTTTTTGTCTCACTCCTGAGTAACCCCTAGTATCTGTGGCAAACACTTGGTTACTCGGATATTTGATTTTTGTTTGCACACATGCTGTGGAATCCTATCAACCACCTCTGCTGGAGTTTTGATGGCGTAGTGGCGGTGATGCTTAAGCATTACTTAGGTAATTGTTCCTTGTGGGATGATGTGTAAGGAGCATTAGGAACCAGGTCCGTAAGTAAGGAGAGAAGTAGCAGGAGCACTCACATCCCTCCTTAAACATCACCCCACCAACCGCACAGCCCCTGAGATGTTCAGCCCTTTCAACATAGTGATGTTTAAGCCCCCGCCAAAGTTTGAATTCCCACTTCGCGCCGCTTAAGCCACCCAGCTGACTTTGTGGATGCTTATCTGGGTCCTCCAGTAGTGCCCCTTTACCCTTTTTTGGGGAGGGTTTCCCTACTAAAATAGACCACAGCAAAAAGGGTACCCTTCTTCTAACCTCTCTAATGGAGGACCCAGTTATAAAGCCTCCCCCCCCCACGCTTTGATCTCACCGGTGGCATCGTATCCGCGACCTGGCGACGAGGTCTGCATTTGCGACCCCGATGGGCATTGGCCATCAGTGCACGAGAAGCCGGTGAAGGAGTCGATACCGCGGTCAGAGTTACAGCACTCCCGGAGAAAAAACAACACGCGCATGCATGTTCGTGGCAACGAAAAAGGATCCTTCTTTTTGGCAGGGCAACAAAAACGATCATTTTTTGGGGGCTGATCCAAATTCTGTTTCACGCCTTCATGGCAACAGAAAGATTATGTTTTTTTCCTCCGGCCGATCCAAGTTAATTCGTTTCACACCTTTGTGGCAACAGCAACGATCATTTTCGCCAAATTCGTTTTCGTTTTTGGCATGGAGTTGCGACGTAGCGCTAGCTCCTTCCTTAGCCACGGTTCAAAATGGGTCGGGCCGGGTCGCATCAGCTCTTGGAAGGTTTTGGGCGTTGAATATAGGAAAGTCGCGAGTGGTTTCTTGTGAACGGAGAAACAACAATTGCCCATGGGACATAACCTATGGCTCCATTTTGGGGTGTATGAACATCCATTGGCCACCTATGTTGATGTTCACCAGGGGTACAGGGTTTTGACCCACAGCCAATTGAAAGACCACAGCTCGAGAGTTAGAGTTGCAAGTTGAGGAGGAGAGTCGAACATCGATTGTCGAGAGTTGCGAGTCGAACCTGAAGATGAATAAATTTGATTCAAGTCGAATTAAGATATCGACTTTGTGAGTTAGATTCGAATATATTTGACGTTTTCGATATTGGCAGTAACAACAATAGGAATTTAGCAACCTATATACACATGGATACATATTCAAACATCACTAGCGGATATTCAGTATATGTCTTTGTGTATAATTTAACGAATATAGTGATTACACCAGCATAGACCCCAGATAGTTTAAAACAGGTGAAGGACTGCGCTCTGCTCGTTTGTCATTACACGGGCCATCGCTGCCGACATTTTGTCTGCAAGACATTTGCTGTGCCAATGTGCATGTCTCATTCGTGAGCCGGAAATGAACGTTGCGAGAGCCGGAACTTCAACGCTGATGGCGCTGATTGGCGCCGAGGTGGCCAGACCATCTCAAACTTAGCGGGAGAATTGAGAGGCTTCCTGCCTTAAGTGTGTTGTTTGCTCCGTTTGTGTGGGCAGCATAGGTGCTTGAAGTTTGATACAGGTTGAAGGGAAACTTTGAAAAGCCTTCCCTGCTGTGGAATCGAAGGAACAATGTTCGAAATTCATTTTGCGAAACTTGCGCTACACAGAACCTGAAGGCACTGTTGGCGCATGGGCATGCAGTTTGGGATTTCTGCAATATCGACGGCAGCGTGCTCGGGGGGCTTTTGGTGGATGGCTAGAGCGCACGTGTTTGCAAGATTGACCGCTTGGTGCTAGGGGGTATGCAGTGCGGTGCTGGCGCAGGTTGTGCTGGAGAGTGTTTCTTGAGTAGCGCACGCAGCTCTTCTTGAGCCGTGTGTTTCTGCTGCCAGTCTGTCGCAAGTCACACAGTTCTAAGGTTTTGCTTTGCATACCGGGCTAAATGAGCTCCAACAGCACCTCCAACAGCACCCGCGCCAGCACCGCAAGCTGCATGCCCCTAGAGCCCGGTCGTCAATCTGGCAAAAAGATGCCCCCAAACAGGAATCATCTCGCAAAAAAACGCACCCTAGCACCCGGCCAACGATCTTGCAAAAATGTGCCCCCACCGTCACCACCGCCTACAAACAGCAGGCACCAGCACCCCTGCACCCCAAGCTGCTTGCCCCCTAGCACCCGATCGTTAATCTTGCAAAACTGCGCCCACAGCGTCACCAGCATCTCAAGCAGCACCTGCGCCAGCACCCCAAGTTGCATGCCCCCTAGCACCCTTCCGTCAATTTTGCAAATCGCTTTCCCCTCTTTACTAGAAGTTAGAACCCCGACAGCTTTCAGCTATCTGGGGAATACTTGGACAGTTATATAAATACTTGTTTTCGAATTTCATGCTTGAATGATCTAAATATTTTGAATACTTGTTAGTAACACAAATGCGACTATGTATATATATATATATATAATACATTAAAATTACTTTAAGTTTAAGAATTAAGTTATGCTTAAGGGGGAAATACAGGGAACTCTGTTGACACATAGATGGGTGTATGTTTCTTTGAGGACACCCGTTTTTTTGTTTTTGTTTTTGGTAAATCCCCAAAAGGAGCCAACCTGGAGGGGTCCTGAACTTGAGTTGCCCGAGACCTGTGTTGGGCCATGGAACGAGAGGTCTCTTGCAATCTTTCCTTTCCGAAAGTTAAAAACTGGCCGTTGATTGATAAGTTGCTGAACAGGTTGAGATAACTTGCAGCTTGTTGCTATCAACGCCTCGTCCCTTTTGTGCCCTTTTGTGCCCTTGTTGCAGCTCTCTTCTTTTTTGGACACCATTCGTTGCGGTCTTTTTCCTTTCTCTTTTCAGAAAGAGTGAAGCCATTGGGCAACGCGAACCAGCTTTGGAAAGGAGCGACGGTAAGCCGGGAAGCACCCCCTGAGATGTGATTGTGAGGGAGTCTGTGACGCCAGTTTTGGCTTCAATGTTGGAGCAACCATTGTAGGCAACATATCGGCTTTGAGCGCCTTTGTCTATGAATCTCCAGGTTTAAGCGCCTGCATTTGCTTAGGTGCTCTGCTCAAGCAGGCATTCAACGTTGAAGGGATACGCACTATCCCTGCAGCTTATCAGGAACCTCAAAAGTGGCCGGAGTTTCCTCATGAACTGCCCTCACAGGGGTTTTGGAACATTCCAAGGGGGCACGTGATCCTTGAGAACATGGTGTTTTGCTATCTCGAAAAAGTTATGCAAAAATAATTTGCATGGGCACGAATTACCTGTTTTCTTCCCACCTCAAAAATGTTTGGACGCACATATATCTGAAAAAAACACATAGCCACGATTCATGCGCTGCAGTGCAGCCGCGCCTGGCAGGATTTGTCGGAGTTTGGGGAGATCGCAAGGCAGGGTGGGCGCGAGGGTCTTTGGCAGGCTGCCGATATTTCCCCCGCAAGCATCACCTCACCAAAAGGAACCTCGTTTAGGCCAGAGGTTGGTTCCCATTGTGGTTCCAGCGAACCTGAAGAGCCTTCCCCCTGCAGATAGAAAAGTGCCATACCATGGTATCACAGTGGTAAGTAAGACTGGCTTTTTGGTGTTTTTTGTCGCCGTGCTATAATTCCCCATAGTTCTACTAAAGTTTCCTTTGGTTTCCTACAATTCCTGTATTGTCCCCCCTAAAAACATAGGTCGGAATCGTAGGGAGCCCTGCCCTGGGGCGTTGCCCGAGGCTCGACACCAGCCTCACCACGATTGCGCGGCGGGGGCCACAGAACGATCTCAGTCAGAGCCCAGCCTCCGTGGGAGCTCCATTCGGGTGCTACCTTCCCCATTCTGAGCCCAGTGATCCGAATCTTTAGAAAACCTCCGGACACCCAGGGAAACGGCCGGTTGAACGGAGCGATGGTTGAAGAGAATGGGGAAGCAACCCTTACACCCATGTCCTCCCCGAACCAACGCTGCCAGCTTTTGTCTGTCAGTTGCTCAGATGCACATTGAGCGGGGCCTGGACTTCCTGAAAACAAGAAGCTGCACTACATGGGAGGGGTTTGAGCTCAGACGTCCAAGTCCTTTTCGGGGGGTAGGTTGATTCCAAAGACAAGCCCCATCCCAGAAAAAGTTGAAAACGGCCGCAACAGGAACGGTCTGGGCAGCCTCAAACCATAGGATCCAACCTCCCAGTCTCCCTGGAGGTTAGCGGAGGGCGAGGTATTTTTTGGCACCTCAAGAAGCAAAAGTACCGGACCTAAGGTAATTTCTCTCCGCACGTTATCCTCCCTGAGGGTTGAATTGAACAGTTCCAGGTAGACTCCTCAGATGCAGTCCCTGAACAGGAGGGCAACTTGTTTCTCCGGGTCTCAAGCATTCAATGGCTCCCACCCCTGGGCACGTGGTCAAAGCTGCCAAAGGATGGTCCAATTCAAGGCGGGGTTCCCTGGTCAACTTTGAGTTTTAAAACTCGCTTGACATTCTTTGCTTGTCACACAGATTCAGGGTTGCAGGAACAGCCATTGTACCGATGGAAGTTTCTCCAAATTACAATTTCTCCAAGGGGGAGGCTGCGAGGTATCACAGATGTGGGAACCAGGCCATTATTCCTGCATTGGAACCTCAATCTATTGCGCTTCAAGACTCCCCCACATGTCCAGTCCAATTATCACAAGCTCACCTGGGGAAGACGATGTCCAGTTTGGGAATCATGATATTTTGCCCAGACACATATAGATACATATAGATGCATATAGATACACATGTTAAAACTGTTTTTTGAGGGTACCGTTTTCGCGTTAGTTTAACGGGCATACATCGTTCTCCTTGCAAAGAGTGAACCCCTTGAAGTTCCACATTCCGCCACCACCACTTTTGGGTGTCTCCCTGTTTTGACACATACCAATGTTTCGGATAGCGTGCAGTGTCTCTCTCCTTGGAATTCAGACCTTACCATTGACAGCCCTTGGACCGTAGAAGAACCAGGTTGCTTCAAACAATATGGGCATGGGCCAAAACTAAACTAGGAATCGGAAGGCATATTTACCTGGGCAAGCCATTTTGCGGTTCCCCTGCTATGGGTGAACGACATCCACCACCTAAGAAACCTTGGAATGAACAAAAATACATTCCAAGAAACAATGGTTTCAACCATGGTTTCAAAGTTGTGCATGATTCAAACCATTTAGTGGGAAATATCATCATTTTACTGGTTTTCCCAAATGGTGATCCCATGTAGAGAACCTTTTTGATCAACCCCCCATCAGTGTTTTGCTTTTCATTCTGTCAACCACAGCGAAGCCATTGTTGGTTGGTATTTACAGGGGAATATTTCATTCCAGGGTTCTTAGGTGGTGCGAAATGGATTTCGTCTGTCCACAGTAGCTGAATGTGCACATTTCTTTTCAGTTGAGTAGCTGAAACGGATCCATTGACAACCACAGCCATCAGTGTTTTGCGGTTTTCCCCCGAAAAATGATTTCCGAACCACAGCTCATTCTCCCACAATGTTGTTTTTTTCTCCCCAGATAGCTGAAAGCTATAGGGGTTCTAACTTCAAGCAAAGGAGGGGTGGGTGAGACGGCCAGGTGCTGTTGCAAGGGTGCTGCAGGCCGAGACTCAGAGTTGCGCAGGGTGCTGTTGCAGGGTGCTGCTGCAGGCTGCTGTTGCAGGCTGCTGCCGAGACTCAGAGTTGTGGAGGGTGCTGTTGCAAGGTGCTGTCGCAGCAAGGGGGGGGGGCGGAGGGGGGGCAGCAGGTTGCAATTTCCGGCCCTCCCCGCGGGCTCAACTCCTCCTGCCCCTTGGAAGACTGTCTTTTCGATTTGTGGGGTTCTTGGAGTGTGCAGTGCGGCTTTGCACGGCCTCCTTGCTCAGTGTGAACAGCATGCCCCAGGGGTTTGGTGCTGTTCATTTGGTGCTAGCGTTCCTGCAGCCTCTTTTTCGATGCGCTCCTATTGGTCTAGTCCGGAACTGTCTGGGATAACAATGAGGGCGCGCCGTTGAAGTTCCAGGAGCACATGATGGGAATGTTTACGTTTTTGCGACTAGCGCCGAATGTCCAGACAGACACAAAGAACATGTCGACGTTTCTGCGGCCCCTTTTTCAGTCGCGTTCGGCGCTCTCGGTTTTTGTCTTACTCACGACTTGCCACTGCGACTCTCTGCCATATGTGCAATTTCAGCAAATTGCGAAGGAACACGTCCACGTTTGTATGGCTTGCCAAATTTCTTTTTATGTGAAGTGCCGACGATTCTACGGCCATTTGTTGGTTTTATCTGGCACCCTGGCATCCGTTTAGCCACGGCTCGGCGAGCGGTTTTCTGCCAAATTTGCTGCTCCAAAGAGACACTTGCAGTTCCAGCGACACGCGCTCACGCACTGACACACCCCGCGGGACAACATCGATGTTACTTCGGCGTTGCGTTGAAAATTGCGGAGCCTCGCTTTGGCCCAGCGCCCTCTGGCCTCAAGTTGGTGCTGTTGGGCAGGGTGCTGCTGCAGGCCGATACTTAAAGTTTCACCTTGCGCTCTGCGTGCTGCTGCAAACACCGAGTCGGGCGCTGCTGCAGGGTGCTGCGACAGGCCTAGACTCAGAGCAGCGCAGCTGCCGCGGAGCTGTAGTCTCCCCGCAGTCTTCCCGGAGTGCTTTCTTCCGGTTATCGTTGTTCTTTGGCGAAGCCATTTGAGAGGCGGCGCGTTAAGCAAAATCATCGGCTAGGGCTCGTGCCTTTAGTTCGTTGGCTGACACTACTCTCTTGCTATCTGGGGTCTATGCTGGTATAACTTTTCTGGTTTTCTGTTTTTTTTTCCCCGTTTTTTGGTCCCCATTGTCATCCTCCGTTTTTCTCGTTTCGCTTAAATCGATTGAGCGGCCCGAGGTGTGTCCTGGTCACCTACTTCGATGTCCGCTGCGCCCAGCGCCTGATGCTCTCCAGCCCCGGGCGCTGCGAGCCCTTCCCAGCGGCGCGGGGACCCAGACGTCGAGACGTCGGCTGCGGCTGGGGGGGGCAGGCTTCGCTTGGGGTTCGAAGTGCTACCCATGGGGCTGTGGGTCAAAACCGTTTTGGTACCATTTTGGGGTAGGTGCGCCACCCATTTTAGCCCACCCCGGAGGGGACGGGGATGTTCAGGGGTTTTGATCCATGGCCATATTGGACCGTTCTCCTTAAAAGGAACTCATGAGGGTTGGGGTTGGTTCAAATTGCTACCCTCCCAGCAAGTAGCACATGGAATCTGAGGTTCTTTTGGGGGGTCCTGGTTTGGACTTTGTTTTGATTGGCAGGGGACCCGAACCTGAGGTTTTTTTGGGAGTCCTGGATTGGACCATTTCCGTTCGACGGGACCATTGACTGAACGTCAGGGGCGAAGTGCTATGAGTTGCCCATCCCAAAATGAGCTGATACTGTTATGCGGTGCCGTGGCGCAATGTCTTCGGAACCGGAGGTGGCATGTTCAAGCCCTGCTGGTCCTGTGAGGTTGTGAATTTCGTCTCAAGCTGACGAGTTTTTCTTCCACGCTCTTTCAGCGCTAGTAGGCTTCAGAGATGCAGATTCTTTGTCATACGGAGTTTCAAAAGCGGTCCTTGACACCCATGTGTATATATACATTTGTATGGGGGGGGAGGGGGCGGGGAGGGGCGTTGAATACATACATACGTACGTACATACATACATATACATACATATACATACAGACATACAGACATACAGACATACGTACATACGTACATACATACATACGTACATACGTGCATACGTGCATACGTGCATACGTACATACATACATACATGCATGCATGCATGCATACATACACACATACATACATACATACATACATACATACATACATACATACATACATACATACATACATACATACATACATACATACATACATACATACATACATACATACATACATACATACATACATACATACATACATACATACATACATACATACATACATACATACATACATACATACATATACATACATACATACATACATACATACATACATACATACATACATACATACATACATACATACATACATACATACATACATACATACATACATACATACATACATACATACATACATACATACATACATACATACATACATACATACATACATACATACATACATACATACATACATACATACATACATACATACATACATACATATATATACATACATACATACATACATACATACATACATACATACATACATACATACATACATACATACATACATACATACATACATACGTACATTCATACAGACGTACGTACGTACGTACATTCATGCATACATACATACATACATACATACATACATACTTAAATACTTACAGATACGTATGTATACTTTTGGTGCCTCTCGAGGATTCGGTGTTCCTCCTGTCGCGCGTGTGGGGTATGCCTTTGCGCGGCCGAGGCGGCCCATGACATCCGCACGGTGCGCCGGAGCCTCAAGCGAGGCGCACCTGGCAGCGTGTTTTTCAAAATCGGTGCCCCATGACGCATGAGATGTTCTGAGGGCCTTTTTAGCGTTTCTGTCGAAAAACGAAGCGGAAAAAATGATGATCTCTGGACATGGCGGCCAGTGCAGACCCGGTGCTTCCGGAGGCTTTTTTGCGGGGAAACCAAATGACCAGGGTGAAAGTGCATTCTTACCAGCGTGTGAGAAGGAACGGATGGCCTGGTGTTTGTCACTTTTATTTAACCAACTGTGAAAGCTAAAAAAAATGGCGTGCCTCTCGCGAACGGCGACCCGTCCACGGGTCTTTCCGCCTGGAGCTGAAACAGGCGACGCGTCCCGCAGTCCCAACTCCGAGGAGTGAACCTCTCCGCCTTCGCCGAAGAGGCGCGCTGGCCAGGGCTTCCATCCGATGGGAACTCCAAGCTTGCCTTTCCGTCTCGGCAGAAGTAGCTGTTACAACAGGTGCCAGTGGTTCGTGGTGCGTTTTTTTTTGGGTCGATGGTTTGTTTGGGAAGTATTACCTGCGAAACGGGTGCGCTTTTCGATGTGCGCGTTTTCTTGTTGATTGTTTGTTTGAAAGTCGTCGCGTTCTGCGCCATGCCGGCGTCCAATCCAAGTGGCGAGTTCCTTTTTGCGCAACCGGAAGCTTCGGGCTTTGGAATCGATCTGGCCCGCGCCTGGGCGGACCCAGACCGGCTCGCGTGCCCCGTTTCTGGCTGGTGCCATAGGCAGGGCATGAGAAACGGAATGAACCGTTTTGGGATTCCCGAGTTAAGGAAAAAAGCAGGTGCATGGTTCAAAAAGGGGGTCATTCCATTTTTCATTCCCTGAGCAGCAGCAAGGTTTTGAGACACTCAACTGAGCCGCCAATTTGCCTTGTGCTTTTGGTGGTTTTCCGCACGCGACAGCTGGGTCAAAACGCCAATATGGCTTTGCTTTGGGGCAGGTTCCTCGTTGAGGCCGGGCGCAAGATCCCGGCCACTCTTTGGGTCCGGCCTGAACCCTTGGCATGTAGGGAACATGAGTGTGACTGCAAGAGAAGTCCAGATTCTAGTTCTTAAGTCCAGATTCCAGTTATTTAACAGGGCTCCTTAAAAGATACATTTTGCCATTTGAAACATGGCATTTTCCACCAAAATAAAGGGACACCTCCTACAAGGCAATGTTCAGGTGTATACTGTAAGCCTGTTGAAGGCCTGATGTCTGTGGGCACTTGAGCACTTTTCAACCGCCTTCGCAGGTGGACCACGTCCGCGGTGGTTTCAATCAATTCGGGGAGGCCCTGACACGGTTGGGGGGGGGGGGGGGGCGCGGTTCGGTGGTTTGCTTTGTTGGTCTGTTGGTTTTGTGGTTTGATTTGCTGGTTCGGTGGTTTGTTTGGTGGTTCGGTGGCTTGATTTGTTGGTTTGGTGGATTCGGTGGTTTGTTTGTTTGTTTGTTTGTTTGTTTGTTTGTTTGTTTGTTTGTTTGTTTGTGTGTTTGTTTGGTTTGTTTGTTTGGTTGTTTGGTTTGTTTGTTTGGTTTGTTTGTTTGTTTGGTTTGTTTGTTTGTTTGGTTGGTTGATTGGTTGGTTGGTTGGTTGGTTGGTTGGTTGGTTGGTTGGTTGGTTGTTTTCCGTCACGGAGATGCCAGGTTCCAGCCTTGCGCCTGGGGTCTTTCAACAAACCCTTGCTTGCTCAGGAATCCCATTCCCCACTCCATGCAGTATGATTGGCTTGATTGGGCCCTCAGATCCGTGGCAAAAAGTCTTTGGGGATCCTTGATGCCGATGAACACTTTGGAGATGACCGTGAAGTCACACACACACAGACACAGACACAGCCACAGACACAGCCATAGACACAGAGACAGGGACAGAGACAGAGACAGAGACAGGGACAGAGACAGGGACAGGGACAGAGACAGAGACAGACACACAAACACGCACTCCACCCACCCAAAACAGAGTTTTCCCCATCGGAGATTTGCTGATCTTGAGAGCATCGAGAAGTCCCTTGAAATCGGCAATGTATGTATATATATATATGGATATACACATATACAAGTATTGTATGGGCGTATCACTGCACATCACATTGCGGAGCAACCAACCGCAAGAAGTGGTTAACCTGAGTCCATGTTTCATCCCCCCGAAACAAACCAGCCACCGGAGTTCGCCGAAAGTGGAATAGTGAGGGATTCGGTGAGCTGAGGAATGTCCGTTCTGGCTTCTTGGACCCCCGGCTCTCAATAAAGCTCTGAACGAAATGCTTACTTAGTTCAATTGATTGGGGATAATTTCATTTTGATCCAGCCCGATTGCAATGTACCCGCTTATTCGACGAGGTCGCTCATATCAGTGCATCGCACGGCCACGCCATCGTGGAGTTCTTTGACATCCGATCCGCACAGGCCTGGACACATCTCAGCTAAAGGCTCTTGATTGTGCCAGCTGCGATATGTTTTTCTGGGTGAGTGGTTGGGCGGAGATTTGAAAGATGGAGATGAGATGAAAGCAGAGATACCTTTGTGCGACATTCTGGACTAGTACTTTTTGGGAGGGCCAATTTAGTCGCAAACCGATCGCCCGTTCTTTTCGGGGACCCTGACTGAATTTGGCGATTGTTGGGAGGCTATACCAAAAATTGAAAGTGGGGGAGCGCCAACTGGGGCTCCTAGGACTCTTGGCCTGGCTTAGCACACCAATGTCCAGAATATCACTCAAGCAGATGCACAGAACCCACAGGGAGGGTCCCCTCTTTGGGACCGAGGGGCTGGCCGCTGCTCCCACCTTCCAACATAGCACCTGCAGCGCACCCCACCCCGGGTTTCTTCAGACGTGGATGCAACAAGGGATGTGCAGACAATGGTACAACTCACGCCCTAAGTTGACTCACTCCCGAAGTTGAACTTTCTCGCTTTTTGTGAAAGACCGTTGTGGCGAAAAGTGGGACCAGACTTTGGACCACCCTCCAGTGCGACAAGTTTTTGAGGCACAGGCATTTCATGTTTTTTCCCGTTTTTGTTGATTTCCTTTTTGTATTAATACTGTGGATGGACGAAATCCTGGAATGATTCGATTTCCCTGTAAATACCGACACTTTGGTTTCAATCATGGTTTCATTTCGTGCGAAATGGATTTCGTCCATCAGTATGATCAGAGTTTTTCCGGTCTCCAGTGGTATGTCGAAACCATTCTAGGGGTTGCTTCCACATTCTTTTCAACCATCGTTCTTTTGAAAACCGATCGCTGTTTCTTCCCTGGGTTTTTGATTTGAACAGATTTGGATGCCTGGAAAGAATGGACATGGAAGCTTCCTCTAGAACTCCGGAGTTTTTTGGGCCACTCTGTCCAGTAAAAAAGGTGGGTTGTCAGGCTGGTAAAAAAAACCTGGTACTTTTGGTGCTTTTCTAGGGGGTTGGGGGGAGGGGGAGGGGAGGTGGGGTGGTGGGGCATGTTAGCGTCGTTATGAAAGGCTTGCACGCACACAAACACACATTGTCAGTGCACACAGGTTGATGCATGGCCAATGTTGTTTGCAAACGCTGGCAGAAAGTGTGTGGAGAGCCACCATGTTCATCCCAGCAAACATGAATTGGTTAGAAGAGTCTCTGTGACAAGGGGGCACGCAAACGATCGCTTGGGGACTCAATGTGTAGACAGATGGTGGCAATCGTTGCAAGACCATAATATACCAATTCAGCTTCATTCGAATTTGTGTTTCGCTACATGCATAGCTTCGTTTGGAGGCATCGGCTTCCCATTGAGAAAGACTTCTGCTGAGCGTAGGCTGTAGTTTGTTGATTCAGATTTTCGAGGATTTGAGCTGCAACTATGCCGAACACATTGAGTTTGTGACCATTTGTGCACAACCAAGCACGCCAGAGATGACAAATTGTAGAAAAGCCAGGGGAAAACGCGCGTGACGCAGCTTTCACCTCCAGGTTTTTTAACAGCCTGTGGACCAGCCTCAATGGCCCAAAAAGGTGGGTTGCCGCCGCTTGGTGGAGAGATGTTTGAAGGGGACAGGCAGGGAACCTTGTCGCATTCCACTTGCCTCACACCCCTTCTGGACAAACCCGGATGTTTGAAACATCCCACTGGAGAGTGCCCCCAAACCTAAGCTCGCGGGTTCTAGGGGGCGCTTCCCCTCACCCCCGGAGCTTTTTTGGGGCCCTCTCTCCAGTGCAAAAGGTGGGGTTGTCAAAAACCTGGACCTAATCCATTTCAAAAAAGGATTCCAGTTTTGACCAACCGCCCGCATCCTTGGGAAGCTTCCCCCCCACACCCATCCCCGGCCCCGCCGGATGTCGATCCTCCTGAGATGCTGCTGGCGGCAGCTCAGGGTGCTGCGATGCCCTGGACGCCCGCCCAAGCCCCAGCGCCAAAGGGCGGGCCTCGGCGCGTGGCTTCCGTTTTTTTTTGGGGTGGGGGAAATTGGCAAGGGCTTCGGGCTCGACGTTTTTTGGGGGCTTTGTAGTTTCTTGTTGGCTTTTGAAGGCTTTTTTGGGGTTTTGAAGAGGGATCCAAAAGGAGAAACCACATTTTTTGGGGTAAAACTCATGCAACCTGGACCTGAGTCCGTAGTGTTGGCTGAGATAAGTGCAGTGGCGCCTCTCTTGAGGATTTGTAGGAAACCTGGCTACTGATGCCAACTCAAAAGGCACAAACCCAGACCTTCAAGAAGAAGAGTACCCATGGGAATCCAGAGGTTTACGGTCAAAAACCAGAATCTGAATCCCGAAGTTTGGAAGAAGAGAACCGGCCCCTGATGTTGACCATGGGGTCTCCTCCAAAATCATTGTTGGGTTGTTGGTGGGCTAAATATGAAGCAGAGTCAGAACCGATTGTGTTTGAGGTCAGAGGGGATAAGGGACTCCATCAAGTCGGAAAAAAAACCCAGGTGAATCGCAGTGGATTCTATTTCCAACAGCTCAAGCATATGGCGAGTCTGGTGATGGGAACACACGTCCACGCGTCTCAGGAGCAGAACGGCTCGGCCTCCGCCTCTTTGCTCTCCTCGCTGTCTGCTGGCACTTGGCAGGGGCCCTCAGAAAAAAAACCTTTCGACCCCGAGGCAGGTAGGGGTTTCCCAGAAAAGCCACAGACTGAGTACCCCTCCGATTCACATCCTGCCAGGGGGAAATGGTCTTCCAGGACCTTTCTGTCAGGTTCCTTGGTCAGTTGGTGGGAGGGTAATTCCCTTCAAGTAGAAACGCCCATGTGTTGGTTTGAAGGGTGTGTTCAAGAACATTGGGGGACTATTTTGGGGGTGATCGCTGAATGGTTGGTGACTTGCAAGGGTCGAACACCGGTAACGTGGGCGTCTTTTTTCACCATGGGGCGAACTCTCAGCACGGAATGGGACTTCAGCGGTGCAAAGTGGATGTTTGTCCACCAGCAGTATCACAGCCTCGAGTCGTTGGGCTCGGTGCGTTATGTTTTGGGGAGGCGTTCCATGTTCACCCCCCGTCCCCCTGCTTTCCCCCTCCCCCCAGCCCCAGAGGCCCCCAGCCCCAGAGGCCCCCATTTTCCCCATACCCCCCACCCTCCCTTCTTGGCGAAACGCAACATGCGAGACACCTGGAGTGGAGCCCATGAGAAGCGCGCGACATTGTCGGAGAGTTTGCCTGAACCACGACAATCGGGTTGCTCGCATCAAATCCCGGGCCCGGAGGCAGTCAAATGCCGTTCCTCAAGGCTGGCAGTGCCTGGAGTGCCTCTGTCTCTTTTTTTTTGACTTTTAAAGTCTGTACCTCGATTTTCTGTGCGACAAACCTGGATTTACTTCCCAACAGCGGACTGGCTCGGAGTTCCAGGGGATATCACTTGGCGTTTGTGGCATACTGCAAGTCCAACCTTCCGAAGGGTTTGGTTACAGGAAAATCTACAGGACATGGCCCCACAACACTCGAAATCAGTTTTTTTTTCTTCTGTAGAGTTTCCTGTAACCCGACCTTTTGAAACCTTTAGCAAGGGATCAACGGAGCTTCAACGAAGAAAACAACCCAAACCCCATGGGGAAAATGAGCGCTTTGCCCGCACGAGTGGTTTTTCACCTGGGCATGAGGCATCTACCCATCATTCAGATTCCAGGGCCGTCTAATTCCTTTGTTGTTTTTTTGTGGGTCTCTTCTCTCAAGCCAAAAGCACGCGTTTTGTTTGGGAATCCCTTTGGTTGCTCTGGCCAACGAAGGCTGAAGGGCAGAGGTTTTGGTTTGGTTGTCTCTTGCTTCTCCCTTGGCAAGAACCATTTTCCACCCCCGTCAGAGTCATGCGTTTTGACGTTTTGCCAAGAGGCCTCTGTGATTTGTGCGTTTGCCAAAATCATGAACAGTCTTTTTGTTTGATTTCAATCGGAAGACCAGGTAAGCCTATTCAGGTTTGTCTCTAGGCAAGATTCCATCAAAACGTGTGGTTTCCACTTTGTCCTCAAAGCCAGCCCAAACAGGGCAACCTCAAAACTATGGCACCAAATGTGATGCAGACCGATTTTGCGGCCGCAATGGCTCTCATTTCGGCGCGCAGGTTTGCTTGGGTTTCAGACATCTCTGGGAGAGGACCGAGACGCCCGTGAGAGATGGACAGAGTGACAGATCCACAGTTTCGGCTTCTGATTTTTGGATCTGTTTCGATTTGGGTCTGAATTTTAATTGGGGACCCCTTGGTCGACATCATTTAGGTGGGGATCCATGTCCACCAACCACTTTGGAGGGGTTGCCTATTGAAATTCATGGCCAGTTGTTTTCCTTTGCTGATATTGGCAGATTTTCGTCTGCCTGCAAACCGCAGTGACGAATTGCAGCAATTGTTGCATTGGAAGGAGGGTAGCCGTCATCTCCGGAAGAAACAAATGCACCGGAAAAGGAGACTAGGAAGTAACACGTGCTGGGTATTGTTTGTCCAGCTGTTTGTCTCTTGAGGTTTCCCTTTTGTCTTGCCGTAAATCCACCCCAAAAAGGGCATTCTGCAAAAACAACACGCACATTCACACAGGCACACAAGACAGCGGGCGCGCACGCATGACGCACGCGCACAGGCACATACGCACCCACGCACGGACCCATGCACGCCGCACGCACGCACCCACATGCACGCCCCACACTCTCTGCCGATACATATTCCGAACACAGGTAAACCCCTGATGCATGTTCCATTCACAAATCTGATATAAGCCTCGACCTTTGTACATTGATAGTGCGGCGTCATGCAGCATAAGAAGCCGACTGACCGCAAGCCGGCCTGTCTGAATTTCTTGCTTGTAGCTTACAACTTCCAATACGTTTACCAAGCCGGATTCCAGCCTTGTGGAAGCTCCGAGGGTTGAGATTTTTCAAGTTCCGCATTGGCTTCCCGAACGTATTGTTTCAGCTGTGTGCATCGATTTGATATTCTGCTAGCACTGCATGAGGCTAATTCTGTGTCCAAACACCAAACTGGTGGCATTTACTTTTGGTTTTCCTTGAAGCCAAGGGTAAGATGATACCCTCAAACAAGCACACGCGCATGCCTAGTCACTTGTGACCTCTTGGAACACGCCACATCGTCAAAGGGCCCAAGAACCTTCGTCTGGTTTGGGCAGGTGTCGTTTTTGGTGCCTTTAAACCGGGAACCCAAAGCAACGAGTTACGCAGCGCAACAGCTTTGATGTGTTCCCCGCGCGCCAGGAGGAGGTTGTGGACGGTCTGGCACAGGCAGACCCGTTGTTGCCTAGAGTTGGGTGCCGTTTTGGTTGGCAAAGGGAGGCCAACTCTGCAAACAATCCATATACAATGTCTACATGTTGGGGTTTCCTAGTTTTAGCATCATCCCTAGCAGGTTGTAGCACTTGGCCAGAAACGTCAGCCGACTCTTGTAGCTCGGAGCAAGACAGAGCGTTTCGATGCGATGCAATTCATTTTGGACACCAAGTTCAATTCCCCGACCCAAGCGCCCAGAAAGGGCGCCAGACATAGCGACCCTTGGTAGCCCAGACCTCCAGTAGTGACCTTTTTCCTGTTTTTTCGGTGCGGGTTTCCCTATCTTATCGGCTACGTAGGCCGTCTCTTTTCTAGCTTGTGCATAAAAAGGGCATACCCCTTCGGGCTCCCCTCCGTGCTTCTGCATCGCGCGAAATCTGCCGGGCTATTTACCGGCTAAGAGCACTGCAAAACGTGCTGAAGCCCCCGGCTCGTCGTATGCCCTGCGCATCTTGGCCGTGCTGGAACTGGTTCCAGCTAGTCACTTTCGCCTTGCGGTCGAAAGCGCTGCCCCTTCCGAGCTGCCTCCGGCGGCTGTTTGCACAGCTGCTCCACCTCGGCGGGTCCAGCTTCTTCTCCAGAAATCGCGAAGTCCTCGTCAACGATGCCCAACCATAGGTGTCCTTTCTAGGTTAGTTTGCCTAAAGATAGAAGGCACTGGTTTAGATGGGTTTGATTACCCATTTACCGGGGAAACCCATCCATTTTTCCAAAAGGACACCTATGTGCCCAAACCGCCCCCGATGCCATTCCTCCAGAAGGCATCGCTTCCGAAGAGCTCCAAGCCCCAGCGCCATCTTTGGATCTGGCCAGTGCGGTTGTCTCCAGCTTCCACGGCTCTACTTTCCACTCGTCACGGAAAGTTTCCAGCGCACAGCCTGCATTGAGCAGCGCCAGCGCCATCCACCACCTTCTTTCCCTTGACCAGGAGCGCGACACCTAAGATGAGTTGTCACCCCAGGCCGATCAAGATATCCCTTCCATCCACCGCCTTAGGGCCGGCGGCGGTCTGCATGTCGCTTCCGGCCCGAGGCTTGCTTCCATGTCTTGGTGGCCCAGTGGCTTGGTTTTGGGGCCCGGTTGCCTCTTCATTCCTTGAACACCAGAAAGCTGCCGAACGCGGTCCCCGAGCAGCTTCGTGCAGTCCGTCCATTGTGCCAAACAGCTAACTCGCCCAAGTTTTGAAGGCCCATTTTGAGGCTGAGGCGCTCCGAGGCGAGTTCGTGACGAGTTCTTGAGCCGTTGGAGGCTGATGGCTGCCTTGCTGTCCCATGCGCGTGTGCTTTCTCTCTCCAGTCGCCTCGGCCAAGGAGTGCACAGCCCATCGTTAGGGCTTCACGGCAACCCGCCGGGGCCAGAGTAGCTGCCGCAGCGACTCACAGCAAACTGCAGTGCCATCCACGAAGTTCACGATGCCGAGCACGCTCTTGTCAGGGCCTCGAAGACGCGAAGATGTCCACGCAGACCACCAGGCCTTCTCTTGATGCTCAGCCCTCCCGAACGTCTGGTCCACGCCCCATCTTGCCAAGGAACAGGACTATCACCTGGCCACAGCGCTCCTTGATCAATCCGTTGATCTTGGCCGTTTTCCCTCTGTTGCCCCTTAAAACACCAAGCTTGTCAGGGGTCCCCCCCCCCAAAAAAAAGAAGGGAAACAGACCCACTTGTCGGATTGTTTTGAAGGGAGGCAGAATGAATTTTCTTTCATGGGTTATGGGTGTGTCCTTGTCTTGAGGGCCCCCCTTTTTTGGTAGGTTTTAGAGGGAAAAAGCCAGCAGGCAAGCACCAAATTTGCCATGTCTTACGGGAACCGCTCCTGTGGAAGGGCCACCTTTCTCGGCTGGCACGAACGCACAAGGTCCGAACTGGATGCAACCTATCGGGCACGTCGAGTGACTTATATGTATATATATATATAAGTTAGGTAGGGCCATGCGCAACTTTTTTCGGACTCAAAAGTCTAGGGTCTACCCTAGGATTTTTTGCATTTTTTGAATAAGCGCCTCAAAACAGCCATTTTAAAACATTTTTTGAAACAGTCTAAACACATTTTGATAAATATTTTTTTTAGCACAGCATACCAAAACAAAAATTGAATTATTTTTGAAAAATTCAATACACCTAAACATGTTTATTTTCAAAAACACACATTTTCCAAAATATTTTAGAAAATATATTTTTTTCAAAAGAGATAAATATATATATAGCATCTTAAGAAGAATTATTCAATAAGAAACAACATTTTCAATAATTCAATGAGGAGACTTAATAATTAATCATTTTTCGAAATTTTGATATTCCGGAGTTGCGCATGGCCCACCTTGTAGGATTTTATCTTCAATATATAAAACGCTATACTTACATTATAATTATAACATATAAGGGTATAAATGTTATAATCATAGTATGGTTATAATTTAAATTCAGGATAACTATTTAATTGATATATATTTCCTCTTTCATACATCATTTTAATAATACTATTAATATCTCTCACTGTATTTTTAACATTCAACTTTTCACTTTCAATAAATAATTTAATGTTTTTTTTACATCAACCCCTTCCATTTTATGATAAATCAATGCCCATAATATGTAGTCAATAATTTCATACTTTTTCTTACTGATTTTAAGAAATGCTTTAACATAATCATAAGGCGGTATTTCATACACAGTTAAAAATATCAAAATGTCATCTTCAACATTTCTTTCATTAAACCTTTTAATATCTAAATTATATTCGATTGCGTCTTGGTAATATCTCCAATTTCTACAAATTTTACATAAATTTTCCTTACCCAAAGAATAATCAATAATATTATTAACTATTCCATTAGGTAAATTTAATTTATATAATTCCATATTTTCCTTTTTGAAGTGGCAACAGTTGTAGCATTTCTTATTGATATAATTATTGATTTCGGTTTCCACCATTTCTATTATGATATATATAGTTTTTATTTCTTTAAATACTTTTTTTACAAGAAATATTAAAATATTATTTAAATTATTATCATTTACAACTACAATTGCATCTAACACAGTAAGGAATAACATTATTCAGTTCGTGTGACAACTCGTTTGATTTACGTTGCGCTGTCAGATTTGTCATTATATTACCGTTTTTAATATCCATAGAAAAACCGCATCCGCAGTAATTACATTGATTAGTGATATTATTTAAAAACCATTGCGCATTTACATAACCTTCTTTAGGTATTGTTCTTTTGGCTTTCCTGTCTTGTTCTTTGTAATTTAATATTTTCCTTTCAAAATAACTCATAATACATTTTTGATTAAATACATCATCAATATCTTTCGTATATTTATAAAATTTGACTTTGTTTAAATCTCTACACCTTGTAATTGCAGTCCATATCCATTCTGGATAATTCTTTACCAAAAAATGGTTATAATCAAAAATTGTTATGGTATCATCAATGCTACTGCCTTGGGCAGAATGACAAGTCGAACAATATGCAAATATAAAATTACTTCTTATTTTATCAACTGACAAAGACTGTAGAATTTCAGTTTTAACATTCTTTAAAGTAAAAATCCATCGCTTCCAATATGAACAATTTTATATTTGAAATTTACATTAAACACTGATGCTTTAGTTGTTGTATATTCTCTACAAATTAAAAATTCTCCGACTTGATATTCATCTTTTCTATTTTCTAATTTTCTAATTTCATTTGATACATTTTTACAAGTTGTATTTAAAAATGCTATATTATTTTTTGACTTGCTAATATCTGTTGTATATTCAAAGTATTTTTCAATAACTTTCATAATAGGTAATTTATTTTCAAAAATATCAATTTTAATATTTCTTAGTTTATCTTTATCTTCCTGTGTGTTAAGTCGCTTACATTCTTTTAACAAAATATTATATTCAAAAATGTTATCTATAATGTTATCAGTATATACTTCATAGTCTCGAGTATTTGTTATCTCTTGAACTGGTTTTAATTGCTTAGTGTCTCCTGTTGCTATTATAATTTTGTTGTGCTTATTCTGTTCTACAAATTGCTTTATTCTCCAATATATATTTAAATTACTAAAATAAACTTCATCAAATACAATTACATCAAATTTTGTAAAATCAAATGGTTCTAATTTAGCATCTCCATAATTAATACCGAAAAATTTATTTATTGTCATTGCTTCTCCTTCAAATGCCTGCAGTAATTTGTTAGTAGGACAAATAAAAATTACATTATAATTTTTATCAACCATTTTTTGACATATATATGATTTTCCTGTGCCCGGTAGTGCTCCACGAATCATAATAGGATTATTTTGTTCAATAATTTCTATAATATTATCTGTGTCATATTCATCTACTATATCAATAGTTTTACTTTCATAAATTGGTATTTGTATTAATTCGTTTTGTGTAATTTCATAATCTACAGTAGGAAATTTAATATATTCGTCATTTGAAACTCGCCAACCTCCTATTTCATTATTAAAGATTAAAAGCTCTCTTGCTTTTGTTATATCCGAACGCTGTATTACAAATGCATCTGTTTTGACGCTAAATATATTAATACCATTTTGATGTAATTTAGAATAATCTTGATACATTCTAAAATTATGGTATTGAAGCAGTAGCTCTTTTACATACCTAAAACCATTCCTTAAGCGTGATGTGTCCTTTAAATTAAGTATATAATATGACGCCTGTTCTTCTTCTGCTGTATATTGTTCTTCATCTACTGTAATTTGTTCTGTCGTGAAATGTGTTAATTTATGTATTTTACCTCCATACTCTGCCTGATAGTTTAAAGCTTCCTTAAGATTTTTAAACACTGTGCTCTTCTGGTCAGTTGCTCCCCCCTTTTCTAAAAGTCCATAATTAACATTTGCGACCAGTTTTTTTATACATTTATCTTCCTCATTGTCTTCGCTAATGTTTGTGTTCCAAAGTTCATTAACAATATTTTTAT